TCCCTGGAGGTATTTAAAAGATGTGTAGATGTGGTGCTTAGGGACATGGTTTACTGGTGGACTTAGCAGTGCTAGGTTTATGGTTGGACTCGATGATCTTAAAGGCCTTTCCCAACCTAAACGTTTCTATGATTCTAATACTTTGCTGGTCATTTTGTTGATTTAGTTTTGTAATTTTTATATAGTCACTTCAGTTTCTTTGAGCCTCCCACAAAGAAGAGTTCTGGCATGAGGGTCTCTGCAGTTCCTTTCACTGAACACCAGTAGAAAGTGTTAAATTAGCTTGTCCGCAGGGGTCTTGTCTTCTCTGAGTAATCCTTTATACCTTCATTACCAGTTGGCTCTACAGACTCCCTGGCAGGCTTTCTTGCTCCTCATGTCTGTGAAGAAATATTTATTATTAGTTTGCTAGTTGTTGCTCAGGCTAGTTTTTGGTTTTTATGTTTAATATGCCAGAATTTATGATCCCTTATATTTTCTTCATCTGCACATTTCTTCTGATATCCCCTTTTATATTCTGTTTTTTATATAGTCGTGCTGGTTTTCTATTGCCATTACCTAAGTCTTAATAAATGGTATGCGCTGGCCTTGTGCTTACTACATAGTAAGCACATAGTATCTTTAAGTAGTTTCCACAGTACCTGTAGGGATTAAATTTCTGTCCTTTTGATGTATTTATTTTAAAATGTCCTCATTTTTATGTATACTTCCAGATGCATTGTTCATCAAAGGCAAAATTTTCATAACTGTCCTTTCCTATTGTACCTGTCAGAACTTGTGTGCAAACCAGGTAGTTAGAAGTTTGTGAGATTTTTACTTCCAAAACCAATGTAAGTGCACAAACAGTACACAAATGACATATGCACAGTATGGTAGAAAGTTCTAAAAGCTATCACATGGTATTTCAGAAATGTGGCTACAGTTTTTGCTAGGCAGTCTGGTGGGGTTTTTTCAGTGGCATTGGCAGACTACTTAAGTTGAGTCCGGGGGGCATTAGAAGCACTATATGGAGTACTCTGTCTGTAGAAGAGAAACTCGTTACTGATCCTTTTCTCATGATACTTGAATCTCCTGCTCTTTTGGGCTAAATGTGTGATGTCCATTGAAGTGAACAAAGGAGAATCTTCTTTTACTTCAGTATAAATTGGTCAGTTACTAGGATTTTGATCCTTCAAAGTAGGATTTATTATTTTAGTGTGTATTTTTGAATGGGTTGGTTCTAATTAACCTAGATGTAAATATCTGATCTTCCATTTTTGAAAGATCCTCTGTACGGTAGGAGTGGAAGCTGTGCTTCATTTTGAGAAATGTTAAGATAAATTTCACTTGGAAGGATTAGTTATTGCTCATACAGGAGCAGCTTTAGATGCTGGAAATCATCCTTTTATACATATCCAAGAAACTAATCAGTCTAGTTCCTTGCGTATCAGCATAGTTAAGTCAATTTATACCAGCTGAAAATCTGTCCTGTAATGTATTAAATAATTTCATTTCTGATAAATTACAAATTAAATATTTAACTTCTATTTACTTTTCTGAAGCATTCTTAATGAGCTCAGTAAGTACAGGTTGTTACAAGTGGTACTCATGCATCTTAGATTTACTTACTTAAACAAAACAGAAGTCTTTTTCAAGGCAAACTCATTTGGCTGTCTTGTGGTATGCTTGAATTTTTTTTTTTCTTTTTTTCGTATTTCAGGTAAATATGCTGAAGATATATTTGGTGAACTTTTCAACGAAGCACACAGTTTCTCATTTAGAGTCAACTCCTTACAAGAACGTGTAGATCGCTTATCTGTCAGTGTTACACAACTTGATCCAAAGGAAGAAGAATGTAAGTTAACTCCTGCACGGAAGATTTCTTATTTTGTCACCCAGATACTATTGATATGTGAAATGGAAATAATAATAATTTAATAATAACAAATTATATTTATAAGAACACAGAGCAAAGCATCATGAGAAAGGGGGCCATTTCTATTTCTGTGACAGGTTTCTTTTATAGCCTTGAGCAGCTTTCTGAGCTCTACATTTTCGTGGTTGCTGAACAGTACTGTTACCAATGAATTTACATAGAAACTGCTACAGGATTATGTGTCACTTCAGTAGTATTATGTATTAGTGTTAATAATATATATTATGTGAATGCTTGGCGATAAGTCTTTACTCTTTTTTTTAACCTTCCTGCTAATTCCCATGGGATGTAACCATTTGTCCAAGTAGGGTTTTTGCATTTAGCTTGTTACCATTTTACTTTCTGTATGACGTTACAGTTGTATAGCTCCATTTATTGACACTATATATCCCCTTGGATTCTTCATAAATAGCTTTTTAAGTACTATAAATATTGGTTAGCACTGAGGAAACAAGTACTTCCAAAAGTCAATAGGGTATGGCTCATGCCTATAAGATAGAATTTGTATGGGATTTAAATGATGCATAGGTGTTGTGATGACTACAGGAACATTGACCACCTATTATGTAAATGCCATGAAGCTTTTTTGCCTTCCTGGATATCTGTTGGTTACACGTGGAACTATGAAAGGTCTTGTAACCCCAAACAGTTTAGGGTGTTTTAGACTATATGGCTAAGACCTAGAAAGTAGAGCAACATCCTATCATGAAAAATAACTTTAGATTGCTTGCGGGATCCAATTTTTAAGTATAGAAAGCTGTTTCAGTTGTGAATGTCTAGGTATAATAGTTGTGTGTCATTCAGGAAAAATGAAGTGTCAAACCAGAAGCATGGTCTTCAGGCTGTGTTTAGTTACCTATGTCAAATTTCACTAATAGCAAAATTAAGTTAAGGAAGTTTTGTTTCTGTATTTTGCGTGGTACTAATTTTAGAGCAGGTTTCGAAAGACAGTTGTTCACAGCTAGTAGCAGATTTTCCACGAAATTGTGACTTGTCTAGGGGAATTCTTACATTAATGGGATTTTCCAGGTCTCTTGACAACTGAGCATAAATCATACACATACACCTCTTTTTCCAATAAAATGCCATGTTTACTATGACTGGAATGACAAAAATCCTTTCTGTGTACAGTAACATTTGTACATACATACAGTGTACAGTAGCATTTGCTAAACTGTACAGCTAAAGAAAGGGACAGACACCGCAATTAAAGAAAACAGGGCTGAAAAGAAGTCTACTTGATCAAGTCCAGCGTGGCTAATTGTGACTTGAATCTGATACCCTGGATTTGTCTCTCACGCCATAGAATAGCAGTGACTGCTAGTACTTCAGAGGAACACACACACAGTCCTCAGTGTCAGGAACTATTAAATGGCTATTTTTATTAACCTAAGAATATCCAGTCCTTGGACCCTACTCAGTGTTCCTTATTCACAAACGTCTGCCCAGAACGAGTCACCAGATGAGGACAAAGGAGATGAGAGGAAATTCGATATTATATTTCCTTAAAAATTAGATATCAGGAAACTGTTTCTCCTTCAGTATCCTATCTTGGGCTTGAAATTTAGAAGTTCATCACAAATAGTTTTGTTTTAGTCGTGATCTGGGCTAAAATAGCTGGAGGTTGTTAACACATGAAGGTGTGGGGAAAACATTTGGATTTACCTTTCTTGCCTTTCTTAACTCTCTATGCAAGAATTAAGCAAATTTCAGTACTTCTGTTAAGCTAACAGCATGTGTAAAATAGGCTATACTTGTAAAATGAGTCTCATTTGCTAGTTCTTTGCCAGCAGGCACTAATAGAAGATTTAATATGTTCCTTTGGGCCCATGCTATTACACAAGAGGAATAAATTAAGATTCATTTAAAGCTAAGTGGCATGAACAAAAACAGCCCAAGTCAGATTCATTGAACGAGGTGCAGATACTTGACAAGATGTTTCTGGTAGAGTCAAAGTAATAAAAAGCTCTGATTTTTTTTAATAGTCTGTGTGTTTTCTCATCTTGAATTATTACAATATCTCTGTGAAAGAATAAAACCAAATGACACCAAGGTTAGGATTGTATCCTGAAGGAACTAACTCCTGGTGCACGATCTGTCACAGAAGAATTGTTATGAACTTGGTTTGGTTTGAATTATTGCACTGTTTTCAAATTCTTGACTTCACAGAATTATTAATTTCATATTGTAATTGGTTTTTTTTACATACTTTATTCTTTTTGCATACATGTGTTTTTTTCCCCCTCAGAAGAGATATTAAACTTGCATACAGACAAATATAAATCCTCTGCTTTCCTTCAGTAAACTGAACTTTATTTCAATTGTATGGGAAACTAGCCTGTAGGTATTCAAGAGTTATCATATCCAGGTCTTTTGAGGACCTGGAAAACACGTTCTTGCTATGGAGGTGATCTAAGATTGACAGTTTCAATAGCCCTGCAATATAAGATATCCTCATAGGTCAGAAAATAAACTCTAAGAGTATAGTTTCTTTGCAACCATTTTTAATTTCAGTATTTACTTTATAAATAACATTACTAACCTTTCCATATATATGCAAATTTTATAAGTATAATAATAGATTATTGTTAATTTACCACATTTTTGTGAATTTATTTGTGCCATTAAGCTTGAAGTACTACTGCAAGTAAATAATTTCATATCTGTAGAAATTGGACAGGTTTTAAAAGATTATTCATTTTAGCTTTTATGTCGTTCTTTTTTGAAATGCTGATACACAGTACAGCTCTGATGTACAGTGTAATGAAGTATTAGAAAATAGTTGTGTATCACTCAAATAAATGGTATCATGGCAGAAGGAGAATTCATAAACTAAGAGTTTATCTGCATATTTTGGTATTAATTTAGTCGTTCTTTAATATGAACTGCCTAATTCTATTTAAATCTCAGACTGGAGAGGATTTTAATCGCAAAGGCAGTGTATAAAATTCTTGATTTCTACAGCATATCTGTTACAACTGTGAGAAGCAACTTAAAGAACTTAATGGCAGAAGTGCTATGGGTGAGCAGCCTGGCATACTTCAGGAAAGGAATCAAACAATGTTGTGCATTGTGTTTCAGTAGGTTTCTGGCTTAGAATACATGTGCTTGGTTTTTTCTAAACATTCTAGAAATGCTGGCCTGTCGTAGAAAGGGTAGTAGTTCAGAAGTTTTGCTGGATTAATGCTAAAGAGAGATTTGAGGTTTGGCTATAGGCAAAAAAAGGTGGCATCTGGTGGGGAGAAACCTAAAAAGCTTGACAGCTAATTGTGGTCTGTATGCTTCTGAAAATGGAGACTTGGTCAGCTTTCAAATGAGGATAACTCAACCCGTTGTGAGACTTAGAAGAAAGGGCGGTAAATCCCATTTTAAGGGGCACTTACAGTCTCTAGCCTCTGGAGGAATTTGGTTACTTGAGTATAAATGTAATCAAAGTTAAGAACAGGGAGCACATGAAAATGGGGTCCTCATGACCTCCATGTGTAATATGTTAATGTGGAGAAAAACACTACTGTCAATTCATTCATAAGAATTTTTACCCCCAAAGTCAAATAAAGAAAAAGACTGTTAAATTAAATTGCATTAGCAGGTCACTTTTCCTGCCACATCTCCACTTAACCTGAATGTTGGATTTGAGTGTGTCTCCCTCTCAAAGATCTGGGCAGATGGGCTGAGCTCCAACTGCTCTCTGCGCTTTTTCTTCCAATTTTCTTAGCCCTCAATTCAATTTATGGGTTATTTAGTAACTAAATCAGTTTTAAATTAATGTGTCCAAGGCTTAATAGTTCGGTGGTAAAGCCATGATATTGCATAATTTCATAGAATCATAGAATCATTAAGGTTGGAAAAGACCTCTAAGATCATCGAGTCCAACCGTCAACCCAACACCACCATGCCCACTAAACCATGTCCCTAAGCATATTTGTATTTTGTATATAAAAAGAGGGATCTGGACAAAATGTCATTTGCTAAATAACATGGCGGTTTTGCTGAGACTCACCAGCAGTTTCACTGCTTGGTGCAGCTAGGTGATTCACATCTTCCCTAACGGGCTGCTTGGGGCTCCCTGGTTCTACACACTGCATTTAAAGCAGCTTCTGAGTCCTCTTAAAACGATTGCTCTAACATTTACATCTTCTCTTTGTTTACCTGTAGCAGTTAAGCTACATATATTCCCTATCCAAAGAGTGCTTGAGTTGTTTTGGGTTCTTTTTAAATCAATATTTCAGAAAATGTTAATTTCTTGTGGTGGGAACAAGCCCAAAGGAAAGTGGTTTCTGTTCTCAGAAGTAGTTTCTCTGCTTGGCAACTGTTAAACCTGCAGTGGCCAGTCAGAAGTATTCTGATGGCAGAAAAACCTAATATATGTGTGATTCTAGGCATGGTTGAAGTGGATGATCATTTAAAAAAATAAAATATATAAAGTAGAAATAAGACTTCCAAGATTGCAGCATCTTTAGGAACTGAATCACACAAATCTCTATCCAAAGAGAATTTTCAACACCCCCCCCCAATTAATTACCTTTAATTGGAATCTTATGACCAAGTTGTTCATTCGATATTGTCATTCTTTCTTCCCTGCACTTTTCAAATCGGTGGGTAAGAATGGAGAAAGGGAATTGTGGGCAACTGAGTCCATTGATTTGTATATAATTTCCCATAGTCATTCAGTTCTGCAAAGAGCCATAGCTGTGGCATTCAAGAGTTCATGGTCTTAAAAGCTGTCAGGATGAAATTCTGCAGAAAGCGTTGAGAGAGCAAGCTTTTAAAAGGAATATGTATCATTCATTTATTTACCACCTTTAGGAGAATCATATTTTTTGGCCTGGAACCGCTTCATAAATTGTACATTGGAGTGAGTTTAAAAGAATTAAAAAATCTAATAACAGGGTTTTTTTTCTTCTGGTGAGGTAAAATAAAATGTAATATTTAATATCTTCAAAATGTAAAAGAAGCTACTTTCTGTCGGCACACGATGTGCTCCATACCTGACTTTTACTACAAATTGGGGATTGCAATTTAATGAGAGGCTTAACAGGAGGTAAAATGTTATTATGTATATATATTACCGATGTGTTCTTTTATTTAATTTGTAGTTCAGCCCAAAAGAAACCCAATTATTGTATCTCATTAGAGTACAATTTAAATACCTTTTTTCTCCCAGTTCGTTGTTGATTATGAATAAAAATGGACTGGCATCTCTTTTCAAAACCAAATGTACAAAAGGTTGGTAGTTTAGCTTTCTGAAAGATAATTTTTAATTATGTGGAAAATATTGTGGTGTACAAAAAGTTAGACTTGCTGATATAATAGGTCTTTTTCTACAATCCAAGCAACAGACACAGTAAACAGGTTGTTGAATGAATGTTTAACTTAAATTGTGAACATCTCAACATTTAAGGAAATTATTTAAGACCCCATTTTTTGTTCATTGCAGTAAACGTAAGTGGTGTAGCAGATGGACTTTCAGGAAAATGTATCCATACGAAATTTAGGATCTTGGACTATACGAAGGTTCTGGTGCTAGTTAGGGATTAGGCAACTGGAAGCTTAAATTTACCAACATCAAGTCAAATGCCTGCAGCATTTCCAACTCCTCCTTCAGTGTCTCGTCTCTTCTCACATCTGAATTCATACATCCAGTTTGTTTGACCTGTCCTCTTGCTGTGCCATTTTGTCAATCAGCCAAAGCTAAGTGGCCGGATGATCAGCCAGGTTTTCACATATTCTCCCCCCTGAGGTGGCAAGCCTCACAGGGCTTCTGTTTCTCAGCCAGCTGGCAAGCTAAACAAATGGCTTTGTAAGCCAAACCGTGCACAGCCCAGGATTACGCTGTGCTTGCAACACGGGATTTACCCCATCCCTGTCTGTAGGCGAGTTGTATCGGTGTCATGATTCTCAGTATTTTGTGTGCCATGTCCTTTCATTTCCGTAGTGCTGTTGTCCTAATATAGTTGGTTGTTTCGAATAATGGCATGCTTTTCAGTGAATGCTGGTCATTAGATATTGGCACAGGAAATGCTGTTAGCTGTTTGAAATTCCACAGTGTACGTTTTCTATTAAGGTCTTTGCTATGTAGCTTAGTTTTAGAGAGAAAGTAATCTACGCTTATTGTTGCGGATTGATTGATTATCCTCAGGTATGTTATCCCCTTGTACGTGGTTACAAAAAGTGAAGATTTAAACAAGAAAATAGAGATTATGAATTAGACCGGCTGTATTTGCTCACCGAAGAGATTAAGGAATGCTAATAAAGAGTTTATAGAACAATGTATGTCTCAATAATACAGTGTCACATAATCTGTGAGCATTTTAATATTAAAACAAAGAACTGTATTTATTAATTGGAATAAGTTAATTTACTTCATTGCCTTCAGAATTTACACACGTTCAAAGAGAAGTATACTGACTTTTATTTTTGTTGGCATAGTCTCCAATAAGTGACAGACAGTTTAAAGACTTGCAGGATTGCCAAGTGTCTCTGAACACATACATTTGGTGAGATTTGTAAAACCAACAAGCCAAAGGAAAAACAGCTGAAGTATAAAAGAATCTAAGACTAGGTTTTTAGAGGAGGTAAACCCCAATTCTTCCAATTGTGAACTTTTGCCAGCAAACAACCACCTGTACTTCATGACAGGTACAAAATATATATGGTTATTTATTAGTGCAAAAATACCTGCAGAAATTGAGACTCCTAGCTGACATTCATACATTATAATACTTCTTTCACAAACTTAAAAAGGCTTCTGAGCAGCTATTTAAAGGTATTAAAGAGAATAAACGACACTGTAATGAAATAGAACCTAAGGGTAAAAAGGAAGAAACTTCTCCAGGAACACACAGCCTTGCCAACTGTAACAAACTTCAAAAGCCAAACTGAAAATCAAATAAATCCCATCTTTAGCCTCACAAAGGATGCTGCCAATACACTTAGGTAAGAAGATAGAACATTCCAGGAATTGCAAGCCTTCTGGAAAAAATCCTGCCTTCTACCACTTTGCGATCATACAATAGAAATCCAGCTCTGTGTGTGTGTGTGTACATATGTATGTGTACACTTGTATGTGTTACAGGAACCAGAGTAAAATGCAGCTTTCAGCTTAAACAGATGCACTCTTTTAAAAAAATTGCCGCCCTAGTAATATATGGGGGGGTGTATCCTCTCATCTTGAGTAAAGAGGCACTACTATCAACCTGTTTGTATAAAATAGACGTAATAATTTTATAGATAAAATGCATGTGCTGAAAATACTCTTTGCTAGTATGTCTTAAAACTGTTTTCAGTATTGTTTGTGGTTTTTTTTTTTTTAAAAAAAAGGCCCAAACCATTGAAAAGGGCTGCTGCTTTAACTAGTGAAAGTCTAACACTGGCTGCAAAGTTAGTCTTGAGACACACCTGGACTTCACAGATGTAGTAACTGAAGATCAGGGAGGGAGAGAAATATGAGACTGAACAGGTACACTGTTTCCAGAATTAAAAGTGCAAGTTTCATCATTTGCAGTCACTTTTCCATTAATCTTTTTCTAAATTTTAATGATTGTGAAATAGAAAAAGATATATGGGCTTTAACAGCAGTAAGTCAATATATTTCAAATCACTGTTTAATCTATTGTGTTCACCTCGTGTTATTTTCCTTTGAATCTTACATAAAGATAATTGATTATTCCTAACTACTGTGCTTAAAAACTCAAGGTGTCTCACCTGAATTAAACAGAGAAGTCTCATCTTGATTAAACAGTCTGATTAAAAAAACAACATTTGACTCGTTTCATGTGTTGGAACATAATATCACCTCCCATTAAAACTCACTGGTATCAGTAAGCAGAAGCTTAAGCGATTTGCTGGTTTGGGATCTCAGTGGGCCTTCAGTGGAACCGCTACCTACATGCAAGGAATGCAAAGTTTGGCTTGCTGATAGTGCAAAGGTAAAATCAATACCTCAAGATAGAGAGTAATTTTTTAGTACCAAAAGGATTGTGAGGTGGAGTTGATAAACGTTACTAGGTACTTCCGAACTACAGAATGATATTTTATAGCTACAGTAAGCAATTTGTTGAACTACCTTGGAGAGACAGGGTTCTGATATCTGTCCAGGTGAGCAAAAATTTCCTCTGAAGCTAAGTAGAGGATAACGTGCTAGAACATTACAAGCATGTTTTTCACATAATCTGACAATATCTTGATGTGGCAGTAGTGCTAGATTAATTTGTATTTGCTGTAAAATGCGTAAGATACTAGTAGTAATGCTTAATATTTATATTCTAACCAGCATTAAGGAATTCCAGATTAATCCAAATAAATGATCTTCGGTGGTTTTTTTAAATGGCAATATTCCCTTTCAGTGTCACTGCAAGATATTACAATGAGGAAAGCTTTCCGGAGTTCCACAATTCAAGATCAGCAGCTGTTTGACCGCAAAACTCTGCCTATTCCTTTGCAAGAAACTTACGACATTTGTGAACAGCCGCCTCCACTTAACATTCTCACCCCTTACAGGTTAGTAAAATAAAATTAATCAAAACCAACTTCTAGCTTATTTTATATAGCAGAAATGCTATATCCAGGCACCTTGCTCATGCTGAGTAGCACTTGAATGTTTTAAGGAGCCACCCTAGAAAACTGTGAAGCTGCTGGAGGAATACAGGCAGCAGAAGACATTATAAGCATTAAAATTTTACTCCACTTTACACGAATTTTACCCCAGTGTAACAATGGTAAGAAAAAGCCATTTTTGTTATCTGTATTTATTAAACTGTGTCATGCTCTTGGATGCGAAGTGAAGAAAATAAGCAGGTAAGTAAGGAGGTCTTTAATGGAAATGAATGTTGTTTGCTGTCCCAAAGTTAATTTGAATCAGTAGTTGAACACAAGCAGCCAGACAAATTTGCTCATTATTTTAAGAGCAAGATTTGAGTCATGGGAATGAGTTCTCTGATTTATGATACTCTTTTATCTACAGCTTGTGTTAAAGTTACTTTTCTAAAATCAGGACCTTGAATACAAGGAAAGATAGTAAAGAATGATGGCACAGGAGGTCAATGTTCATCTTTTTAATGTTCCTCAGTAAAACATTTCAGGGTCTGAGATACTAGGTATTCCTTAATATGCCTTTCCTTTGCCTTAATGTTTGGATTCATGTGTTGTCAAATAAATAGTATGCCCTGTTTGCTTCACTGTATTTCAGGGATGATGGAAAAGAGGGTTTGAAGTTTTACACCAATCCTTCGTACTTCTTTGATCTGTGGAAGGAAAAAATGTTGCAGGACACCGAGGACAAAAGAAAAGAAAAGAGGAAGCAGAAGGTATATATGTTAGCTTTATATAGCTTTTGGTTGTTTTTTTCCTGGAAAGGGGTTACTTGCAGATATGGTACTTTTTTGGTTATGCAATTAATAACAATCCAGGCATCTTCATTCAAGTAAAACTACTTGTATTCATTCAATTCCATCAGCAATATAGAAGGGCCTAGACCTGTCATGCTGTCTTAATGTAACTAACAGCAGGTTTGCCAAAACTTGTAAGTCTTCTAGCAATGACTCAAAAAGGAGAAAAGAGGGAGGAGGACTACAGCAAGAATAAAGAATTTCACTGGAACGCTTTTTTATAATACAAAATTCTGACAATCTTACAGGTGAAAAAGCTTGAATGACATTCTAATAGATATGTTTTTTCTAAACTAGAAAGAAATCAGTAGGAATAGAGCACTTTGTTTATACTTTCTTAAAATTAAACAAACACTTTTGCAGAGGTAATGCTACTTTTTTGTTTCACCATTATTCTGTGTATTTCATACATAGAGACAGTAAATCTAAGTGTCAGATTCATAATTTCATTTCAGACTTAGAATAAAAAGCTACTTATACAGTTCTTTTTCTCTGTATTATTCAGCTAATTATCCACTAGACTGAAGTTTCTGCCTTTTACAAGTCTTTTTGGTTTACATATCATATTTAGACTGAAAGTAAATTTTTCTTGCACTTGAATTGGGATTGTTTTTCATTATTTTGTGGCTGATGTTTAAATGCAACTAATTAAAAAACATTGTCTTAGTTGTCAGTTTTGTTTGCACAACTCTCTTACAGCAGAAAAATCTAGATCGCCCTCATGAACCAGAAAAAGTGCCAAGGGCACCTCATGACAGACGGAGAGAGTGGCAGAAGTTAGCCCAAGGTCCGGAGCTTGCAGAAGATGATGCTAACCTCTTACATAAGCACATTGAAGTTGCTAATGGCCCAGCTTCACATTTTGAATCAAGGTTTCTTTTTATTTTTTCTATCCTTTATTAAGTACAGCTACTCATACTGCACAGTGAACATGCTTGAGAATGGTAAACGATGAGATGCTACTGCTGTTCTTGAAATGTACTGGAAATCATTGATTTAGCTCAATCAAAACTTAGTTTTAAAATACTTAGTGTGTCCTTAAAGGAGTAGTTATTATCTTGTTATTTTTAAGAGTAGCGTGTATCCTTGGAATTCATTGTATCCTTGAGGATGTGTTGTCGTGTGCAACTTGAAGAAGGTGTAGTGTCACTGTTGCACACTTGCACCCAGGTGTGTCACTACATTCCAGTCTTGACATAGAAGATCGCTATTATTCTAGTCTCTTGAGTTTTCCTAAGCAGACACTGCCAAGACTTTATGGTGGGTGTGATGTGAACAAACATCCACTTGGAACTCAGATGAGAGCGCTGAGCTTCTCTTTACTCTTGAGCAAATCCAAGATTTGATTGACATTTCTGGTTATAGTCTATTACAAAATCCAGCCTGTTGGATTCTCATTTCACAGCATGTATTTGCTGGTGGCTAAAGTAGCATTTCACATGGTAAACACCTGCTGTGTTTACGCTTCTGGTGTTCGTGCAAAACCAAGTCCATTTTACCAGCCAAGAAACATCTGATAGGAAAGAGGGTTGGCAAGTAATATTAGGAGTTTTGGGGTATGTTTTTGGGGGGTTGGGGTTTTTTTAATTAAAAAGTATTCATTGTCCTCCAAAAAAAAGTTACATTTTTCCCCTATCCTTCGCTGGCCAAAAGCACTGTAAAAGAGTATTTTGTTTAGCTTTGTAGGGCCTTCAGCCAAACTTAATGGTGACAGTGGATAGTTACGACAACTCTAGGAGATAGTGTTTACTGTCTGAAAAATGGAAAAACCTGCTTGTGGAAAACTTAGCTCAATTCAGAAAGTAAAAGTGGTCTCAGTGCATTTCACTCAGTAGGGTACAACTCAAGTTATGGTGATTAGCGTTTTTGTGGGCACAACTTTATAGTATCTTATCTTTGTAAACTGCTGTGTCAAGTCGTCGGCAGAAACACCTGCTTTCCTGCTGTTCTTCTGTTGCGTTGTACATCAGATTCCACATTAGGCACACTTGTTGCAGAACTCCTTTTATATCCAGGACCCTGGCCTAAACCTTGATTATCCCAATTATGAGTAATGCTGTAGTGCTTCGGAGCACTACGTGTGCAGAGCATGTTGTTCAGATACAGAACAGCACCGTCCTTTTGAGTAACAGAGTAAGAACTTCACCCCCGAAGAATTTAATAGGCTTAGATACTACAGTGGTGGCAGTATGTGGAAATGTAGAGTATTGCTTTACTTGTTGGAAAGTGTTCTGCAAACATATTTCCTCTGAATTTAATAGAGAAATGTTTTTAAAATCTTTAGTTGAGTAGTTAATTAGAATTTCCTAACTGATCAGGTTCTTGCAGTGTGTCTAAACCTGTCATTAACAAGTAAGTTGAATCATCTTTATTTACTGCTTCTACTCAATAATAGATATTTAGATTATCTTCCTTATATCCGTTGTATAGCTACAAAGTATTAGGTCTAAAGTAGTGAGTTCTCTGTATATACTGGAATATAGATCCTCTGACAGAAGTTCAGCTAAATTATTCAACTGTAAATTCTACCATTCTAACATCAATGGATGTTTCATGAATGTTATAAAAGAATATGGTTGCATATATGTAGGGATTGAGGAGCAGAAACGATCACTGAGTATAATGTCTGTTTCATAATACACTCTGGTATATGTGTATTTCTGATTGTATTGCTATGTTTACTTAACTCAAAATAATGTGACTAATAACACTAAGATCACACACATACTGTAGAATTTGTCTGATATACCTATCAAAATCGTTAAACCCTTGAGCTGCTAGAAGCAATGGCATGGAAAGTGGGATAAATTACCAAAAAGCCATGAAGTACAATATGCAACATTGGTGCAGAGAAGATACTTGAATTCAGAAATCAAACTGAAGTATACAACAGTAGCTGAGGGCACTAATACTTTTGCTAAAGGTTACGTTAGATCATTTTTCGCTGTTTTCCTACAGATCTCACGCATATGTGGACCATATGGATGGATCATATTCGCTTTCTGCATTACCCTATAGCCAGATGTCTGAACTTCTGAACAGAGCCGAGGAGCGAGTGTTGGTCAGACCAAATGAACCACCACCGCCACCTCCAATGCATGGAGCCGGAGATGTGAAACCTGCGCCTCCATGTGTTAGGTACGAAGTGGTCAAGCCACATGCAGATTTATTGGGGAGTTTTAGTTTTCCATCACCCCACTAATAGTCATTAGTATTATCTCCATGCAGCCCAGGCAGTACACACATCCTAGGGGCTATGTCAGTCCACAGCCCGGACACGTCTGCAGCTGCAGGGCCACGCAGGAGTTGGAGAGAAAGGTCGGCATCTAAACCCTGTAGGGTGCCATTGTGGAGACAGGCCTCACCTTGCCATTAATACTGCAACTATGTCACCTTCTGAGTTAAATGGCAAGACATATAACTATGGAAAATGTTTCTGTGAAAGATGTTGGAATCTCAGGATTCAGCTTTGGAATTTTGGAAATTTGGAAATCTGAAATTTGTACAACTGAGCTGTGTTTCAGCCTACATGAAAAGAAGAATATATCGCAGGAAGACAGTCAGCTGTCAAAACTATACATTCATCACATTTGCTAAATTGCAACTGCCTTTTTTTTTTTTTTTTTTCTTCCCCCAAGTGTTTTTATTTTCTATTTCTCTGTGCCTTTCCAGAACTGGATACATACTTTTTTCTAGAGTGAGGCTCTGGTTGTCACTCCTCTGTTGTTTTATACCCAAAATCTTACTTTATGGTCAGGTACATACAACTTGGAATGGAGAACAGTTAATTCAGGCACGGTTGTTACATCAGCAAGATGTTAGTCTGTTGAAAAGGATGTCTTTTTACTGTTCAGGAGATTATACACAGAAACGCATAACTCTAGATTAATTTTCCACAACAGCTGAAAGAAATCCTCTAGTGGTCTCTCAGGAAAATAATTTTACTGTTACCTTTTGTTTTCTTCAATTCACCTATTCATTGCACTATAATGAGTATCTAGGAATGAGCATCTCTCTGTACATAGTAACTGATGACGTTTGATATTAGGCTCACTCATCCTGTCATCAAACCTTAAATATGTATTTCAAATGTAACTCATCCTCATTGCTTTTACTGTTTTGTTTTGTTTTTAAAGTTCTGTGAATTGAAGCAGTTAATCAACTGCTAGTTCCCTCACTTCAGAAAAATAATTTGGATTTACTTAGGGATGGGAGGGAAGAATTATACTAGTATAGGAAACCTTTGGTAAAGATGCAGGTTTGTATAAGAGCATAAACTCGGTTAGTAGCTGAATTTGAGCAAAGGTCTGTTGGAAGACTGATGCATACTCCGTACTGAGAATTAGATTTCCTTGTATAAGAGGTATGAATACCTTGAAATCATCATAGTACATAATGCTCTTTAATGCCCAGCATTCAATATTCTTAAGTTGCAGAAGTGAATCTCTTACTATTTTTTCCACTCTCCAGCTCTAATAACTTTGTCCTGTTATTGGATGTTTCAGTTCTACTACTGGCTTGGTAGAAAATCGTCCTCAGTCACCAGCAACAGGCAGAACACCAGTGTTTGTGAGCCCTACTCCTCCTCCTCCACCACCACCACCTCTTCCATCTGCTTTGTCAACTTCATC